ATAATTCTTTCATATGCTGAAATAATAAAATTCAATACTGTAATGTAAATTTAATAATCATTTATTTTATGTTACATTGGATGAGTACCACTGATGTATATATACCAAATCTAGGTTCAAAGGTTGAAAGAAATATTTGCAAAACGTCTTATAAAAATTATATCATAACAAATATGATAATGAAAGGCAAATAAAACTATGGACTTTGAAATGAAAATACATTTCTTCTTTTAAATTAACATACTATTTTATTTTAGTACAGTCAAAAATGCTTTGTATGTTTAACTAATAATTTTTTTAGCATTACATAAATTTAAATACAAATTTTATTTTTTCGATATTTGTATTGCAAAAATTATAAATATTTTGTGTTTGTTTATAACCCTTGTATACTTAATGAACATTTAAAAGTGTTTAGATACATAATTCGTTTTTCCTGTTAACTTTTTTATTTTTTATTATCTAAAACATGGCACAAAATAGGTGATAAGTTTGAAAGAAACTTAACATGTAAATAACTTAACATGATGCTTTGTCATTATGATAAATATATAAAAGTATAGTATATGTCTATAAAGCTTTTATTTTAATACAATAAATTTTACATACCTTTCGTTACAACAGACATGGTAGAATAAAATTTTGTTATAACAAAAATTTAAACTAGAGTTTATTATACAACTACAATATGTAGTTAAGTTTACAATATGTATACCACTGTGCGTTTATAATATATGTAGTCTTATAGCTCGTTATCAACCAAAGAAAATGGATGATTTCAGTAACGTCGCAAGTAGCTTCACTACCCGTTGCAGACATTAATTTTTATTTTTAAAGTGGTCAATTAAAGAAATTGCGTCTGAGAATATGCACGCATTTTTATTATAATAAATAATTTTATAAATACGAGTAAAGTTTTTTTAAATATTATATGTTGAACGTAAACTTATAGTTAAATATGTAATACATCCAATATAATCAATATGTCCTGTTTTATTAATCAAATATTTTGATCTATCATTGCATATATTTTTTTATAAGCGAAACGCATCGAAATTCATGAAAATGTACTTGCTTTCATGAATTCCTAAATAATTTGTACAATCATTCATTACACAATTATATCCGCAAGAACGGGTGGAATTGAAAATGGCTTATCCTATTAATTGAAATTGGATTAAAATGAAATGATTTATGTTTACAAGAAATACAATACTTTATTACAAGGAATATGAAGAATCATTTTAATTTATTCTTTGTAAAATGGTTCATTCATGTCTGCCTGATATGCATACTTCATGCACACTTCCTGTTAAAATTAAATGACAATAATCAGTCGTTATTAATATTTCTTCATAATTCTATACAGATTTTGACTTACTTCTTGCAAGGACGTGTACATTTCCTGTGCGTCTTGGACTGATGAAAAAATTGCACATAAAGTACGCGTCGTTGGTGGTATTAAGGCATAATCGATTGCCGTCCAAACGCATTGTCTTCCGTTAACCTTCATAATACACATATGACCGGCATTAGTTCAAATCCACTTTGATTTCGCTGTCAGATAATGTTATAATTTTAATATTTGTTTACCTCGATTTTAGTGTCGATAGTAGTAATCGTGTTGCTTATAATTTCATCTGTTTTTTCGGCTTTTAATATTATATTTTTTTTGCCAAAGATCTTAAAGTCAAAATAAATAATTAAATTTCCCACTACTACAGGGTTCCAATCACTTTCATCACTTTTCTTAGTAAGGAACATAACTCTTCTTTCAAAAGTAATAAACTTCTCGTCATCGTCATATTCCTCATCTTCTTCTTCTTCTTCTTCTTCTTCTTCTTCCTCTTCTCCCTCCACTTCTCCCTCTTTGACTTCCTCTTCTTCCTCCACTTCTCCCTCTTTGACATCCTCTTCTTCATCTTTATCTTCTACTTCGTCTGCTTCTTCATTTTCGTCATCCTCCGGTTCTTCTACTACCGGGCTATCCTCTGTACTTTTTTCTCAAAAACATAACAGCAGTATTTAACAGTCAGTTTTAATTAACATAAATGATAGACATGCAAGATGCAAGGGAAATTTGATGTAAGCTTACTTGTTATTAGTACTATAAGATTACCTTATAAAAATACCCATAGATGAATTTCAATTGTTTACGGAACACGTTTAGTACCAAAACAAATTTGATTTTAATTGGTAAAAAAGGTTTCGATTATATTTTGTATCATATCATTTTATTCAATTGTTTTTCAATTAAAGTATATATTTATACAACTTATTTTATATAACTGGAATAAATACCAGTAGAAATTCAAAAATCATTGACAAAAGATCCACGTTTAATTGTAAATTTTTTACAAGAGTACTGATTTAATAATAAAACTCTACTTTACACGAAATATAAAACAGTTACGTTACGTGCCTTGCAATTTTTATTTTCTTTTGATTATAAATATAAAAACTAGACGAAATTAATTATAACTGAATAAAATAACTTCACACGTTTGTATTAAGAATGAATATTACCATTACATATCACATAATTAGCATAAAATCAAAAAATATTTTGAGGAAACATAACATTTATGAACAATGACACTTTTAGTGAAATATTTTTTAGAATCGATCTCTGTACGATTTTCTTTTCTTTTTGTAACCTAATTGGTCGTAAATTATAATTATCTTAAATAGTATTACATTCTAATAGTATAAATAAAGCTACATTAATATGTTTAACAATAAAAAAAATATACGTTTTATAAAGTATGCGTGTAACATATAGTGGGTGTACATGTACCATGCAGCCAGAAGCAAGAATCATAAATTGGGGAAAGCGTTATAAAAAAAAAAAAAAGAGATTTTCATCTTATTCCTTACTGCCTTCGCTTAGTGTTTGTTGGATTTTGTCGATAGTACGCTTGAAATGTGTTGCCAGTTCTGGATTCTTAAATCTAACTGCTAACTTCTCTAAACTTGGCTTTTCTTCAATATAATTCATGCCTGCCCACATCCAAGCACGATCCGACGAGCAGAGTAGACTGAAGCTGATGTCTGGTGTAAGCAAGAAGTTGCACACTACTTTATAAACTTGTTCTCGTCGCAATAGTAATCTATAAGTGCCACGTTCAACATGATGTAAAATTTTCATTTCTCCAATACCCCTTTCTTTCCATTCACGTGCCGCGTTATCGTATCTGTACAATTTAGCTCTTTCACAAAATACTGTAACAAACAACACGTACGCAATCATTTACAGATAAACAAATTTCTTTTCTTTTTTTTTTCTTTTTTAAGACAATTAAACTTAATTTATACCTTTCTCTTCGTCTTCTTCACCAGTGCGTACTTCGACGACATCAGGAAGAGGTATAATAGGTTCGAAATGAGGATCATAATCAGCATCACCTTGAACGCCCTCTTCATTTTCATTCTCCTCTTTCTTTTCCTCTGTGCTTTCTTTCGATTTCTGTGCGGATTTATTAGCAGCCGCGTGCGATTTAGAACCAAATACAGCCGCCCCAGCACCGGCAAACGAGAAATTTGGATCTACAAGAGAAATCAGTCTTTTAGTTCCTTTTAATTGCTGTTGTTACATAGGCGGAACGGGTACGGAAGGACATACCTGTTTTGAAAACTGGCTGAGAACTTTTAGCAGCTAAAGTTGAAAAGTCTACGTCTGTTGACGGGAAAAAGGCGGGTTCGCCCTCTTTCTCTTTTTGTGGTTCACTTGCCGCTGGTGTTATTGTTTCGAAAGCATTAGTGGTCGTAGGATTGGAAGTTGTAAAGGAAGGTGTATTTACACGCGCGCCGAAGAATGGATTAAATGTGAATGCCGTAGTATTGGTAAATACTGAATTAGTCGATTTAACAGACGTATCAAACACACTCATTGCGGTTGTCGTCGTTACGGACACAGATGCGGTACCAACGTCGGTGGTACTTTCAGAAGTAGTTTTTAACATAGAAGATCCGAAAACAGGAGTAGCAGTATCGAATACGGTCGAGATCGCAGTACTTGTAGTTGTTTTTGGTTGAGTACCGAAGCTATTCGAAAATACTGATTCAGTATTGTTTGCATCGATATTGAGCGAACTAGGCTTAATTATCACAGGAGCCTCTTTCTTCGACGCTCCGCCAAAAATATTCTTTCCGATATTATCTGCCTTAGCCGCTCCGAATATGGACGTTACAGATGTTGTAGATGTTGGTGACATGAATGAAAACGACGTGGCTGTTGTTGCTGGTGTTTGAGAAATAATAGGACTGCAAATCTTCAAGTTCTCGGATGTTAAAGTATTTTGCTTATCGGTCGCAGATTTCTGCGTCTCATTTGTACTAAATTGAGTTTGTGGCATCACAAATGAAAAACCAGTTTTCTCATTGTTCGTTGAGTCGGTATTTCCAAATGATATAGTCGATACAGTTGTTACAGGAACAGTGTTTGTTGTAAATTGTGCGGTGTTTGTACTATGCACACCAGTCCCAATACTTGAAACAGGTGTTTGAACAGTGGCCGTGACTTCGTTATTCGAGCTACTTAAGTTAGTAGATTTTGGAAGGAATGAGATTGCAGGTGTACCGGTTGGCGGCTTTTGATTCTCTACAACTGCTTTCGACGCTGCTCTTCCGGAATCTGCCCCATCCTGGAACAATGGTTCACTTGGCTCTTTGCAGCCTCTACATCCAGGACAATCTGGCTTTTGTCTGTACGCGTAAAAGTTTTCTGGAAGCTGTAAATTCAATGCCGCTTGTTTCTCCTCAGGTGATACTTTCATTTCGTATAAAACTTCGATGTCCTTTTCGGGCGTTTTCTCAACCTGTGAAATGTTCTTCATTGCATCTTCAACTGTATTTTTGAAATCTTTTGCGATATCGGACGTTTTGAAGCGACAAGCTACGAGGATATGTTGGATTTCTCCATCGCTGTAATCAGCAGCATTCCACGTCCACGTCTTTTCATCTTTTCGCTTCCATTTCAAGTTTGGAAGAACGAAATGATTCAAGCAGAGCTTTAATGTCTGTTCACGTCTCATTACCAGCCTCAGTTTGCCTGTTTCATTGTGCCGTAACAATTTGATGTCTCCCAAACCACGTTCTTTCCATTCACTCACATTCCTGTCGTATCTGAACAATTTTGCTCTGTGACTGTACAGAACTTCTTCGTCCTCTTCGCCTGTTTTAACTTCTATTTTATCCGGCAACGGGATTATCGGTGAGAAGTGGATATCATCGCTCTCCACTACCTCTTCCTCGCTGTTCTCTTCACCGCCAGACTTTGTTGGCGATGATTTTGACACGAAATTAAATCCAAACGATTTTCCTGGCGATCCAAAAACGAACGAGGAATCTTTGTTAGTCGGTGTGCTTGGTCTTTGTTGCATTCCAAGCACGAACTTCGCGCCTGTCGTATCAGCTTTTGTATCAGATTCTGTAACTGCCGGAGAGCCAGATTTCGAGTCCGTAGAAACATCGTTAGAGGATGATAAACGGAATGAAAATCCAGTTGTACCTTTCTTGGTGGTATCTTGGGGAATACCAAATGTGAATGTGGGTGTAACACCGGTGGTAGTTGCGCTGATCTTGAAACCATCAGTTTTCGGCTTAGGCGGAAGAGATGGGTCTTTTGGTGTGTCACAGGCTACACAGTAATTAGTCTCAGCCGCGTTTACTATATCGCAACATTTACATTTCCACGAACCACGGGGTGGTTTAAACATTTGCGCAAGCGGTATTTGACTCTGGTCGGCTTTAGTTGAACAAGTACTTGATTTATTGGTAGCAGAGGGACATGGTGTTTCACAGGCCACACATTTCATTTTCGTTGCATCGTTTCTCGTGTAGCAAACGTTGCATTCCCACGAGCCTGCTGGTGGCTTAAACATCTCAGACAAGGAACACTGAGTTTTACTTGGTTGGGCAGCTTGTGGTGGGGCTTCTTGTTTCGTCAAATTTTCCCGGATAATACAATCTTTCACCATCTTTTGCTGGTTACTAACGATCGTATTATTAAATTGCCATGCTTGAGCAGCCGTTTTAAATGTTGCCGCATACGTTAACATTCCCGTTTTATTACCTGACTCGTATGGAATATCCCAATAGACAGTCGTATTGCTACCGCTTTTGAAACTAAACGGCACATTAGCTAGAACGTTGTAATTGTAGCAAACCTTCGAACTGTTCTCGTCTACCATTAACAAATGGATCTTATTTGTCTTTGACTTCCACAGAACTTTCATTTCTCCAATACCTCTGTTCTCCCATTGTTTCGTGTCGATGGTATAGCACTGAAGAGTTATCTTTTCGCTGAACAGTACTATATCTTCTTGTTCAGTTTGTAAGGCAAATGCATCTGTATCTTGAACTCCAACAACAGCAGGTGCTGAAACACTCGGTGCAGGAGCGTGAGGTCTTGATATTGGTGTAGTGTGAATGCTAGCAGTAGTTGGTACTGTTGTAGCTCCCGATTGCAACGGTGTAGCTGTCTTTGTAAATGAAAAGGTAAACTGAGATGCAGCGGTAGTAGTTCCAGCGGTCGTGTTTTTCTGTGTCGTGGTGACAAAACTGTCACCGGTTGTCACACTCTTGTTAAACGTGAAACCAGCGAAAGGACTGACTTCCGGTTTAGTAGGAACTTTTGCAGGTTCGGTAGTGGCTACTTTTTGAATAATTGGCGTTGTTGTGAACGAAAATCCACCGACAACTGTTGCGGCTGTAGCAGCAGTTTTTACTTTCTCCGATGTAGCAGTTTCTGTAGTTGTTGTTACTTCGGCAGGTTGTTTCTGGACAACACTTTGTCCAGTACCAAACTGAACGGATTTTGCCTTATCTGATTTCTTAGCATTAGCTGGCGGCACAGCTTTGCTCGACGTTTTATTGGTATTTTCGACTACTTTGTCAGAGATCTGAGAAGGGAGACTTGCTTTAGCTTTATCGAAATGCTCCTTAAACGACAGGCCTTCTTCAACGGTTTTGAACTTAATGCAGAACTTTTCTAATTTTAATTCTCCGTCGGCAAAGTCATTCGCAGCCCAGAACCATGCATTTTCGTTATTTGACTTAGCAGTTAATTCCATATCTGGCACGAGGTAATGATTAGCGCATACTTTTAATACATGTTCCCTACGCATAAGCAAGCGAACCTTTCCTTCTTCATTTTTAAGTAGTTTAACATCACCGGTACCACGTTCTTTCCACTCGCTCTCTACGTAACGATAAAGTTTCGCTCTTGCGCAGAACAACGTCTCTTGACCCTCTTCTCCGGTAGTAACTTTCACTTCTGCGGGTAATGGTATAACAGGAACAAAATCTGGCATAGGATCGTGATCAGGATCCGAACTGTTTGTAGATTCGGTCGAACAAATGATAGCATCTTGCTTCGTTGTATCCGACATGGAAATATTCGCGGGTGTCGTTGTGAGAATATTCGATAATGGTAGTAAATTGACCGTTGTCGGTATAGTAGCTTGAGATGGCATAGAAATTTGATAAGAATGAGGAATAACTGATTCTGCGTGTTGAACCGGTGTTGAAGTGTTTCCTTGTCTGAAATGAGGAGGTATCGTTACGCTAAGAGTTGGTTGAACAACCGGTACTGTAGTCGGAAGAGTATCAGAGGTAGTAATGGCAACGTTAACTGGGGGCATTTTGTTCACGAGTGCATCTTTTATAATTGCCTCGGGTTTCGACGTTTCTACTTTTTGAAGTGGAATTTGCAATGGTTGATTTGCCGGTGGCATAAATAGGCCCTGTTGAAGAATGTTATCGGCTATTTTCGTTCTGGCATTAGGATATAATACCGGCATGGAATACACGTTTGGAGGATACAAAGAAGGAATGGGTTGCGCGTTCGGATCGCTAAACGATGGGTAATATCCTTGGAAGGTAGCCGAAGGATATACCAATTGAGAATAGGGATGTCCGTGAGAGGATTGAAACATATTCCCAGATATTGAGGACACAGGACCAGTCTGACTTGCGTTATAATTCAAGTCGTTGTAATCATCTTCGTTCAATACGCATAAATCTTCTTCCAAATTCGGATTAACGTTAACTGTCTGCGTACGCTGCTTTTGAATTTCTTTTCGTAGTTCTGCCACTTCTTTCGCCAGCTTCTCGACCTTTTCCATTACCGTTTTGTTCATATCTAATATAGCTTTATTTTGTTCTGTTATTGACTGTATCATACTGTCCTTTGAATGGATTATTTGATTTATTGAGCGAATTTGAGCATCGAGACGTTCGGGACTTGGGCGTGCCTCAGAACGATTCCGTGATAAATCTAATATCTCTTGATGTTGCGGTTTGTACGGAGTGCTAGACTGTTTCGGTGTACGATGAACATTTTTTTGCGGTGTACTGAGAATATTAATCGAAGTACTTAATTCTGTCAACGTTGGCAATACTGTGTTTGTAACTGCTTGATCGACAGCACTATGAGCAGAGGAGTAACTTTCTTCTGACATTCCGTCGCACTCGTTTCTACTTAAATCACCCCGTGAGAGATCTGGGTCGATCCTTTTCAATTTATTTTCGATGTCGGTAATATGCGTGGAGAGTTCCAAATTCAACGGATGTCTTGGATTTGTTCCTGGGCTACGTAAACGATCCAACGTTAGATAAAAACATTCTCTTGCTTTGGAAAGCATAATTATATGTTGCGATCTCATTTCAGATGTTAAACTTTCCTTAGGTATAGAATTAAAAATCTCGTCTGCAAGTTTTTCATACATCTGGCCTTGTTGGAACGAAGCCTCTGGACATTTTAGTGCCTGTAAAGCGTCGATCGCTTTTTCGTATTGTTTGTCTCGTACATATCGCTGAGCGAGGAGTAATTTACCCTCTTCCAGAGCTTTAATTAATTCCGCATTGTTCATATCCTTTCCTTGATAATTGAAATATTTGGAATTCGTTACACGTATAACTTGATTATTTTGCAATCTTTCGAGAAGCGGTATCGCAGCTGACCAATACATTTCGTATCGTGCTTCTAAATCTGGTATATCGCTACTTTCTGGATTAGTCTCTTTCAACTTTTCTGCCCTATAATGAAATATTCGTGCTAAATGAACTAAAAGAATCGGATGTAATCCGTGGTTTCCGAGACAACGAACTACTTCTAAACCCCTCTGTAATTCTAGTCTCAATTCCCCAAGATCTTCGTCAAGCGGTTTTTGCTTATCCATGGAATATACTTTATAAGCATACCACCACCATTGTTCTTGAGCGCATGTACAAAGAGTATTAGTCAGATCTGCCGGTAATGTGGGCAATCTTTCGGGATTTGAGAGCCCCCTTAATTGTTGCTCTTCAATTACTGAAGAAGCACAAAAAATAGCTGCATTTAAAAATGCGTCGACATCGAGACGACTTAAACTATCGGGTGCTGCCTGATGCAGGTTATAAACGGAAAATTGTAGTTCGCAAAACACGCGTGACGTTTGATTTGGATGAGGCCCGTTGTCTTTATTTTGCGAATTATGAGGTCGAGTTCTTAAACCAAGCCAAACTTGATGGTGCAACGAATCTGGCCATACTTCTTCCGATATTTCATCAAATCGTTTTAATTCATTAAACGTACATAAACGTAATGTTAGACTTGGAATTGAAGAATTTGCAAAATATGATGTTTTTTTACCATCGTAATATAATCTACCAATAAAAATTCTCTGGTACACCCGCTCCCGCCATGAACTTGTACAAAATTTGCCAATTTTATCCAGTAATGCTTTAGTGTTATCTCGTGCGTAATCTTGAAGTACATGACCAGCCTGACTACATCTGTATGATCCTTCTCTATACCATACGTGTACTTGATTTTTAAACCGATCTTTCAAATGCATAGTCCATACAGCAGTGGGATTTATAGGTGTTATGTTTAATGCAGTTAGCAAAAGAGGTCCACATAACCTTCCTGCTTCAGACCAACTATCTTCTCCTGCTTTAGTTTTTCGTAAAACTAAACATGCTAAGTGAAAGTGTAACTGAGCCCACATATGTAATAACATCTGTTCAACAAAAGCAGGATGATTAGAAAAGTAGATTTCTTGAAATTCAGTTAAGCTTTGATCCAAGCTGCAATATAAATTAATTAACGTTAAATATATGTAGGTACACTATTGCGCATCATATTATAATAACATATAAGTACAGAACTTACTTAAATATTGCCTGTGTAACATCTGATATACTTTTTTTAACAATGTTACCCTGTTCTTTAAGACAGAGTGCTGCATATCTTTCTAGCACAGAAATATAAAATATCCAGAATGTCCAATCTGACTGATCACTCTCTTTATATTTCACAAGCAATTCACTTAATGACTGATACCAAATAATATTATTCCTGTTACTGTGTGTTGTTTCTATTCCAAGTGCTTGGTTGTAGGCATCTTCAAGCCTATGATTTCCCATATAGTGCTTGAGTAGCTTAACTTGTAAATTCACATCTGTTTGTCTTACTGATAATTCAGCTAAAAAATTTACATTACAAATATTTTGAAGTATCACTTAAATTATACAAAATCAAATGATTATAAAATAGGTAGTGACTACTTACAGGTAATAAGTTTTTCCAAATCATCATCATTACCACTTGATGTCCCTGAAGTTAACAGTTTTTCCTTCAACTCAAACACTATTGGATGATGTGGAAATTTCTGGTCAGCTCTTTCTACCCAATATTTAATTTTATTTACATCTATATTAATATCCATGTCAGATAATAATCCACATACTAAAATAAAGAACATTATGAAATATAAAGGAAATGTATGAATTTTAAATATGGAACAACAGATTTGAAATATAAAATATACCCCTTAAAACAAGATCATATTGCTTTGGTTCTAATTCAAGAGATATCTTGTATTGTGTAAAAGCTTCTTCTTTCTGCCCTAAAGCTTCAAGAGCTTGACCTAATAATTTATGAGCTCCTGCAGATTTATCTCTTATTTCCAAATAATTAGAAACATACTTTTTTGCAGATTCATAGTCTCCAACTTGGTAATATAACTTTGCAATATTGTAACACCGAAGATTTTTCTACAAATTGAAATAAAAATTATACATATTAAAATACATGTTTACAAATAATAGAAGTGTGAAGGACAGAGACAAATAAAAAAACGTCGTTTTTACAACTGATGTCATTGAAAAATTGTCGATTAAATATAAAAATCGTATTTTTTCAAAAAATAAGATTTTTTGAAAAAAGAATTAGTTTTTCTGTTTGATCTATAAAAAGCCGCTACACCGGACATACAGGTTAATACATATGCATGTACACGTCGTTTTCAGAACCGAGTCAAGGCCTTCAGTACCGTGTGATACACTTGACATTAGATAGAAATGTAACGTGGTAATATGTACAAAAAATTCGTTAAAAATATCGATAGAATTATAATGAAAAAATAAAAACAACGACTTAGTAAATATAATAAATTAACAAAAGTATTTGGTAGTGCTAGTAATAACGACTTTTTCTTTGAAAAATAACCTTACCTCCTCTGAGCTTTTAAGTTTAACAAAAATGTCTTTCACGTGTCGGTCAACATCCTTCTTCATTCGAAACATTTTCGGAAGAAAGTGTGAAGCTTTTTCTAACAATCACCAAGAGAATTAATGATCAATATTTGATTAAAATGAAAATAGAACCACCGTTATATGGTATGAACTTCACGATAAGACTTCCCCCGCACCACAAATCACTTTCAAACGGTCTCATCGAAATCAGGAATACTAAGTTAGGTGCTGCCCTCTAAAATATTTTTTTGAATTGTATAAAATATAACGTTCTGCAAAAAATAGTTACAACATAATAATTATTTAAATACTGTTCAAAAATCATATTTATTGTATCGAATTTGACATAACTCGTAAGAACTGTCTTGCATTAAAAATGAATGTTGCACCATTAATTGCAATCAGTATGAAGCTCTAAGCAAAATTCAAAATATCTGCTCATAAAACAGACTGCCAATATAAGAAATTTAACTGCACCGAATCATAGATATCATAGTCAATGTTTATCAATTTTTTATCTAAAGAATAGTGTTTACATACATCTGTTCTAAAAATATATCTTATGTTTTGTTTATACAATGCAAAAGAATACATATAAAAAATAATGTTACATAAAATGGGTATAAATAAAGTATTTTACAGTTGTAGTGTAATTATTTTTAAAATTACACAAATATTGAAGAAATTATTAAAATTGTATATAAGAAGTTCTAAAATTGAATACAAAAATGATGTAGATGTATTGCATCATAGTGAACAGTTTTTGGTAGTTTTTAAGCCATATGACATGTTCATTAATAGTAATAATCCTGAAAAAAAGGTATGAAAGGAATATTTGTAAATTAGAAGTACTATTTGCCATTTTTATAAATGTTTAAACTTTTAGGATACACTACAATTTGAATTAAAGAAACTCGTACCAAATTTAGCTAATCCAAATTTATTTCATGAATTTCATTTTGTGCATAGATTAGATTATGTGACTAGTGGTATTATATGTATTGCATTAAACAAAAAAGCAGCTCGTGCTGCTTCAAATGCATTTGAATCAAGAACTGCCAAAAAATTTTATTTGGCACTACTTCATGGACATATTAATGAACCTTATCTTATTATAGATAAAGCAATTGGTTAGTAATTAAATAAAAACGTTAATAATAATTTAGAAGACTATGAACAGTAATATTATTTTAATAGGAATTGATGTAAGGGAAAAGAAAGGAAACCATAAAATGTGTATCAATGATAGTATATTCTGTGAAAAACCAAGAAAATCTTATACAGTCCTTGTAGTGTTGGAAAGAGGTTTTAGAAATGGAAAACCAGCTACAAAAGTATTATTGTGCCCTGGTACAGGTAGAAGGCATCAATTAAGAGTACATTGTTCATATATTGGCCATACAGTGATAGGAGATTATACATATAGTGAAAGAAAAGACACAGAACCTTATAGAACATTTTTACATTCTTTCAGGTATTATATTTATAAATAAAATTGGTATACTGTATATAGTTATATTCATATTCTATTATTTTTTAAGGTTGATATTGAATAATGATATTGAAAATCTAGATGTGAGAAGTACAGATCCTTTTCTAACTTCTGATCCAAGAAATCAATGGTCACCTACAAGTATTGTTAAAGTATTGGATGAAGATCTATTTTCTGATATTTATAATCTCATGCAATAAAATATACATCTGAAGTTTTTTTATTTCCACTGGTTCTATTCAACCTATTGCTTTAACTCCAGAGCCTTGTACTTCAAATGGAATAGTTATTTCTGGTAAACTTGATGATAATCTGATAGAAGCATATCTCAGGGAGTCTACTCTATAAAACTCTATGGAATTTGTTACCATGCTTAACCAAGTTGCTCCTAGTGCTGGTCGTATACTCAAATTATCATGAAGCACATTATTATGTATAGCTGTTGTTACCTGTATTTAAATTTTCTGTAGAGTATTCGTAAAATTCAATTACTATATACTGTATGAAAAAATTACCTGATTGATACAAAGTATACAGATATGACTTTCACATAACTTATGCAACTGTTGTCCTACTATTCTCAAACTCTTTGCTCTATTAGAAGATTCTTCTTTCCAATCTTCTACTCTATATGGAGCAGCAATTGAATCTACAATTATTAATCCTATCTTTTGTACAGACATTAATATTGGAATTCTATGAAGCAAGCATACTTCTAATTCCTCCTATAAAAATAAAAAGCCACATATTATACTGGCAAATTATTAAGTTGACTTAAGAAATAAATGATAATTACAATAGTTGAAATATGTTCCACAAATACTAAGTCACCATTTATTCCATACTTTTTAGTAACTTCTAATTTTTGTATCAATTCTTGTAATCTTCGTGATGGAAAAATAGATTCGGTACAAATGTATACAGCACCTAAGTTAGTTATTAGATATACTTAGAAAATAATCTATTAAAATTTTTTTTTACTTTATACAAAAAAGAAACGTTAACGTTTATTTGTCATTATATAAAACATTAAAATCGCGAAGTACCAGCAGCAAAACCACCCTCTGTTTCAGGTAACTGTACTGTCAAGCATAATTGTAAAGCTAATTGAGTTTTTCCGGTACTTGCAGCTCCGTAAATTTGTGTAATCCCGCGAGTAGTGATACCACCTTGAAGTAGTGCATCAAACTTCAAACAACCAGTTGTGAGAAATTTTTCACGTTCCTTTACTGTTTTTGCGTTTTCTGATTTTATTAATAAAATAAATACATTCATTTATTACTATTGTAATAGACGACAAAATTAAATTTTAGATATCTATACTGTATTGTGTATTATGAGTATCGTAAAAGGAAAATTCTTTTATAATACCAAAGTAGTTTTCCATTGTTTTTATCCTTTTTATTCCAAATGTATTTGTTGAATATTCAGTTCTTTAATGATATATGTTTGATCATTCAATTATTCAATCTAAGAGTCATTTCTTGTTAAAAGTAACTAGTCAAAAGTAAGTCTTACATTGCTAACAATAGATGGCAGTGCTTTAAAATATTCGAATTGGAATTAAAATGAACGCTTAGTTTTATAAAATTTTATTTACTATTTATGGGAATATGTAGAAAATAGGTCGTTCTTAATTACTTTATTAAATGGGAGAAATTTTCCTTTCAAATTTTCGAAAATTAAAATACAAAAATCGAATTGTTCTCTTGAACAATTCTTTGTATCTCTCTTAAGAATGTCTTCTAATAATATTTTAACTATTATTTCTTTTTTAAGATTTTTTCTTTTCTCTTCTTTATATGTTTTTTTATTTTAGTTTTCCTATTTTCTGCTTGTTGTTCCTTTACGGCTTTTTTCCGTGCCTGAAATTAAATGTACTTTATTATATATTATATCTTACAACATCTCGGGAAACTGTATGAAATGATCAGATTACTTTTTTACTATCTCTACTCTCATTTCGAGGTCGAGCCGAATTCACAAAATTTGACTCATTTTCGACTACATTTTCTTCTTCACTATTTTGATCTTCCTCAGAATCATCAGTTTCTTCAGATGAATCATCTTTCTCGCCTAAATTAACAGTTTTCTTAGAAACTTCGGCTAGAATTTCAGGAGTATCAACGGGCTTGGATAAGTCTCCTTTTAAACCAACTAGAGTTTTATATATTAAATCCTCTTTCCCAGATTTAGCAAGTTTGATGTCGCGCTCAATATCAATGACCTAAACATGCTTATATTAAAATGTATACCTGTGAAAATTAATATACGTATACCTGTTCATGTATGTGAATCATTATATGCATGAATATTTCTTGTTCCTTAACATTACCTGTGTTAAATTTTGAGGTATGTAGGCTTGTTTAAACACTTGTTCTTCTATTTGTTGTTTAGGATCAACATTTTCTCCGCTTTGTTGTGCCATCTGCGCTGATATTGTATCTAAATATTTATCCATATTCTCCTCAGTTATTGTTGGATCTGTTATAAAGTCAAATAATGCCTTGATAGTCATCACTCCTACATCATTTTTCTTAAAGAACTCTGAAATGAATTAAGTTCAAATAATTTGATAAATGTTAATTCTGAACTTTTTGTAAAATATCTTTTCAACTTTTATTTACCAGTAATATTTGTACAATCTTTCCTAAGAAATTCAAGAGCCATAGGGTGGTCATGTTCAACTGCCTGAGATACATCTATTATTATAAGAGATCCATCATAATATAGTATATTATATTCACTTAAATCAGCATGAACAAGCTTGCATTTATTATATAGTTTCCACATTGTTTCAATACACTCTCTGTATAATTTTCTTGGTTTAGAAGCAGTAAGAACAACATCTTTTAGTTTTGGTGATGGCCAGCCATTGGTGCCTATGAAATCCATTAATAGTACATGGCTACGTAGTAAAATTGGTTTTGGAGCATTTACTCCTCCTTGCTGAAGACGTATTAAATTTCTAAATTCTTTTTCAGCCCATGTCCGTACCATTTTGCGCGGATTATGGCGACAGTAACCATGACGAAAACGAAATTCACCAGTGACATATTTGTCTCTATCCTTAAATTGTAAAATTGATGTTTTATATATTTTTATTGCAAATTCTACTCCTGTCTTTGAAATTGCATGATAAACATTAGCTTCTTTGCCTGTTGAAATGCAGCCATTAATTTCTGCAATTATACCTTGATTTAACAGTTTAAATAATATCATTCTTGTACGTGGATCTAAAACTTGTTCAACAGTTGCACGATCATGTTTGTCTTTTATTCGTAGCCTATCCTTTTCCACACGCTTATCATTTTCAATTAAAATATTTGCTGCATGTTCTGGCAAAGATGGACCCTCATATTTTTCAATATTAATTTTGTTAGAATAACGACGAAATAATTTATCTGATGGTTGATAATTACTAATCTTATTGGAAATACTCTGAGCATTAACATTTTTTGTTTGAATATTCTTAACAATATCTTTTGAACCAGTTCTGCTTCGATCTTCATCCCAGATGAAATCATCATCTTCTAAATTATCATCATTATCATCATTATCATCATTCTCATCATCTTCTCTTTCTTCACTATTTGAAACATACAAATTACTTATGTCTTTAGAAAGTTCACAATAAAATAGTGGCCATCCTTTACACGTATTCAGCCTTTAATAAAATTACAATCATTATTAAATTTATATGTTATTTAAAAAAATATAATTAAATAGTATACATACGGTTTCTCAGTGTCATCTGCATCACTGAATTGACCTTGTTCGTTATGTTCGTACATGATAAAACTCTTTCTTTATATTCACTTTCTTTAAAATATTAATAAATACGCAAAAAATAGAATGTGAAAATCACGTTTTTTTATGTTTTAGCAACAGTTAGGTTAGATTTTACTTACATTAAGGCCATTTTCAAATGATAGGACAAATGCTTAATCTAGAATACGTAGCTTATTTTGATATTATCAATTACAAATTGTTATGTATTTATAATTGTAAATATAATTTAAAATTTTTTACAGTTTTATCTGTTACTTGAAATTGATATAACATTTTTTTAACGAACTTTCATTGCTTTAACTGTTATCAATTTTTAAACACAATGAAAGCTATGCTTTCTATAATTTGTATTATCTATGACTAACGTGTGAAAATATTTTGTTTACATGTACCAGTATTTAAATTGTAAAATTACATTGCGATGACAGAGAGTAAGATATTTAGTATAATTTTCACCCAATTATGATTATATTTTTAATAATGTTTAAGTAAAATAGAATAATAGAAGTACGTGTCGTGGAATGTAACAATGTACTAGTTCTTCTCTTGTTTTTAAATTAGGAAATTGAAATTGGATACATTATAAAATAAAGAAAATATAATAAAATATCACATTATATTTTTCAATAATCCAATCTATTATAACGATAAAATTTGTACACTGTAATTTTACATGAAATTGTTAACAATGTAAATGATGTAAGATTTTTCAGGTCTTATAAGCTTTTGTTTTTGTATAAATATATTTAAAAGCATGACTGTTAAAAATAAGTATTATACTTCTGTGGTAAAAAGCTGTAGGAATTCTATACAGTTGTAAACATAAAGGACTATAATGTCATTTAAAACTTATTTTAATTAAATTGACAACCACCATTACTTTTAAGAGCGTAAGAAATAAATAAATATTTATCAAACATCTTACAATCTTACATGAAAAGTAGTATTTTGTTGGGTTTTACTCTCTTTTTTCTTACAGGTAGTAATTTGAAGTTATAAATATTTAAAAATGCAAAGTATTATACATTCTATAGAACAATGCAATGTTATTCGTTATACATCTTATAGAACTGCAGCAAAAATGCAAATTTTGCACAAGGAACTTAGTAGTGAGTTTAATATATTTTCATTTTATATAGATATCAGCAATTAGTATATTGTAATATTTTTGTTATGTGTATATGTAATTAATAACAATATGCATTTGTTATAGTGCACTATGTTCAACTGGAATTGATTGCTGGAGTTTTTGAACGTCATAGACTTTCAATTACAGAAAATTGTGTAAATTTAGATCCAAGTGAAATTGAAGATGTTCTTTCTGATATCTATTTTGCTGCATGTAAAGAAAATAATACCAATTTTGATATTGATCTTGCAACAAAACTAGCCTTGAATTATATTTTAACTGCATTTGATAAGTATGTTATTATAAATATATTTCTATTTAAATTTGTTGACTAAAATTGTAATATACTACTATAAGTATTTTAAATATTCTAGACAATGTGCTGGAAATGTTTCTGTATTTTCTGTGAAAGTTGCCTTAATACTAATTAGCTCTGGAAAATTACAAGAAAAGTATGGATACCTTTATCAACAATTGGCTGATCACAATGCATGCTTATCTAAAACTAGCTTACATACATTATTAACAAATATTTGTAAAATTACGGAAATGCTTGGTGAAAATGCAGTATATGGACCTCAAAATATTCAATCACACATTGATAAATGTTTTGCAAAGGTATGATTGAATAAAATTTTTATTATATGGCAAATGAATAATTGATAATATTTTGTAATAGTCTCAAGGATGTCTTGGAGTTACTGAATCCGAATTTGCAACATGGATCATACAAGAACCTCCTTTACTTGTTTGGATAACAACATTTAATCGCATGAAATCTGCAGAACATAGTATGTATCTATTACATTTTAAAGTAATTAATGTTATTTATTAATAATTAATATTGCGTTTTGTTTAGTTGTACATAATGTTAGATGTTCCTCCTGCAAAACAACACCAATTCAAGGACCACGATACACATGTTTAAAGTGTACAGCATATCATCAATGCCAACATTGTTTCTTATATGGTAAAACATCAGGAAAACATAAACTAAAGCATCCAATTCGTGAATTTTGTACCAAGGTATGTTATCATATCTAACTTTTTTTTATAAAATAATATATGTAACATTTGTTTCAGACCTCAAATCGAGAAGTAACAAAGTTAATTATTGAATTAATCAGAAATAAATTGAGATTGTGTCCTGCTAGATCCATTGGATTAAATATTGATGATCAAACTCCACATGTAAACAGGTAATTAGTTATAAAAAATATTGTAAATGCACAAACCTATTTTATAAATTCTACATTTCTCTTTTAAACATTTATTATAGTAGTGAAATAATGCATGCTGATTGTGAATCAATAAGAAGTACAATGAAGAGACGTGTTCTAAGTGATCCACAAAAAGAACTACAAAGTATAATTACTCATTTAGAAGAAGAAAACAAACAATTACAAATTGAATTGCTTGATATACAGGGTACTAAAGCAGAGAGACTTCATCGTCATAGAGCTATGATTGAATCGCAATTACAACGTTTAAAGTTATTAAAAGTATATCATTATTCGATAATTTATTATTATAAATATTTGAAAAAAGAAGTAAAATGTTTTTTTCAATTATTTTCAGAAATATTTATTTGCTGAGAGAATTTGTATGCCCCAAGTAATTAACCATATGCAAAGCACGCCAATGGTTCCTCCTCTTTCATCGAGATTAACAGCTTTACCTATCAATTTTGAGTTAAGCCCGATTATTCGTCAAGAAAATACAGAACAAATTTCGGATGTAAATGATACAGACTTATTACAATCAAATAATTTTAATCCAACTGGAGATTGTATCAGCGGGGAAAATCATGATGTTATCGTTGACTCCGGAGAAGCATCTACCAGTTTAGGTTTTAGTAACGTACTAGAACCTACTCGAATAGAACTGAGTACATGGATCGGAGGTACGTTATATTCTTAATTCTTATTGCTTTGAGAAATAAAATATTTATAGAGTGCTAACATAAAAAAAAAAAGATTTGTACCTTCTTTTATTCATGTATACGAACTTTTAATTATTAGGTACAAAGAGATCAGAAATAAACCCTTCTGATAGCGGTTTTTCTCAGTGGTTGGGTTCTAATGATTCTGACTGCAAGGAAGAAAAATATACTATGAAAACTATGACAACTAATACCGAAAATGAATCGCCTTTAGTAATCTCTGATTCTCTCATAGGTATTCATAGAGATAATACACCATCTTCTCTACAAAGACCTGATAAACATTCACAACATAGTAGTTTGCAAAATATTCAAGGAGATCTAAATGACATACTAGACAGATTACAAAATATGGTTACTGATGACCATTTACTTGATGGTAAGTTACTACATTTTAAACGATTGTTTCTTTATAGAAATATTTGTGGATAAATTATTATTTTAGATTCTTATGTTGCTAATGATAACTGCAAATTAAAACGTGCTACAACAGAAATGGAAGATTTATTAACAGGACTCATTCAAGGTATGGAATCTCGCAAGAGTAAACTTACTACTATTGTGTAACAAAGTTATTAATTATTATTAGTATTTTGGAATACCAACGTAAATATTTACAAAATAAATATCT